GGTATCCTTTCTGCCAATGATCAAGCGCGAAAGGAATGGCTCCCCAGGCGTGCGGTTCGAGACTAAATGACAACCACCGCACAATCACATGAAGACAATCACATGAAGACGGGTCGCTGACGAGCCTAAAGTCAGTCTGCATGATGTCCTCCTCCCTCTAACTGTTCCAAAGCCACTGGTATGGAGAGGAAAAGGCCCATAATCAATATCAGAGTTCTCCCATGCAGCGCCAACAGATTGGTTGACACCGTTTCTAGAAAGCGTTGTCAGTCCTGTGGCACCGGTAGAGGATCGATTGGGTATGGTGATTCCACTTCGTCACAGTAGTCACCGTAGGCATCGGACTCGCAGTCCTTTTCGTCCGCGTAGTCCAAGGATTGCCGGCCAGATTTCTATATTTCGTCCAATTCGTATGGCACTACTGCATTGTGCAGCAGCAAGAATAGACGCGGTTAGGGGTAGTCTTCGCTCCCAGCGATCTGTCTAGGGCGACGTACGGAAGGGGGCTTAACGATGTAACAGAGTCCTGCGTGTCCCAGCTCTTAGCCACCGGTTCTCCAGTACTAGGACGGCCATGAACCTCGTCGGTCTATAGATATCATCGCGCTGCAGAGCCATTTGAGCCAATGAGCTCGACCATGAATGTCAGAAACAAAAGACATTGGCATTGGCGGCTTGACCGCGCAGGATCTTCAAGGGGTAAACAATCGTCAGATGAGTAAGTACATGCCTTATGGATCCCAAAGTCTAGCCGTTCTCAATGGAGCGCCGGATGGGGTAGTGTGTTCATTACCCAGGAGTAGATGTATGTATTCATTTGAATGATAAGTGCAAAGCTACACGGCTCTGCGAATTCCTCAGGCCTAGGCTACCTCCCAAAGAACAAGCTTGAATGCTCTATCGAGGTTCCGTTACGGTGCTTTAGTTGCTGGGCAACCCATCTGGGCGGTCAGTGCTTGAGTTGTAGAGATGGCCGCATTCAAACGAGGAGCCAATGAGGGTCTAGCGATTTGTCCCGTCACAGCATTTTCAATCGCATCTGATTGGTTGCTTCAGGTTTCTCGCCTCAGCAGAGCTGCATGTTAGCTGCCGGCGGATCGACAGGCAAGGGACTTACGTTGTCCCCTTGCTGTTCAGCCTTGTGTGGCAACAGACAGCAGCGGCTCTACTGAAGCCAGGGCAGACTGTGAGGAGCAAACCCTGAAAGAGTAGGGGTTTTGCCACATGTATGCACGTACCTACCAAGTCACGGTGTAGAATTCATGCTGGAGCATGCGGATCGACGATCCACGATAGAGGATACCCCATTTCACGGCTATCCTAGCGATCATGACCTACAAATATTGCCCACTGAATATACTACACGTTCGTGCCTCAATAGTAGATACTACAGATAATGTGGCGAAATCGCTGCTCAGCGGCCCTCATAGAAACGAACAAGCGGAACGCCTCTTGCCGTTATTAGGCACCTGGTACGCGGCACCCAGCATACATCCCGCACCTTGACTGAGGCAACCAATGCCGCATGCGGCCTTGACAATTGCCCACCAGCCCGAGGGACGTACTGCAGAAGATTATTACTCACTCCAGGCCATGCAGCACGGACGGTATGACGCGTGTGCGACAGCCAGTGGGCTGCAGTGACCCACCTGCACCTTATAATCCAATCAGGCACACAAATGCCCAATCATTGGAGGGCGGCTCAGGGGGGCGGCTCAGGCGCTGCTCAGGCGCTACTCAGGCGCTACTCAGGCGCTACTCAGGCTGCTCAGGCGCTACTCAGGGTAAAGCGGCGGGAGCTCAGGAAAATGACTGAGAGAGGAAATTCTAAATGTCGGGATTCGGATCGTGTACTCTTCTGAAACGGCGAGGGTTATTGACTGGTTTTAAGTGGGTGGTACTGTACATATGCCGAGAGACTTCTGGCTTAGTGTGTGTCGGACGTGATAGCCTTCAGCAGGGCTGTTTCTAGACCAACAAGCCGCAATGCCGTCGTTCGGGGGACTTGCAGCCTTACTCCCCGCGAAACTTTATCCGCTGCGCTCTACAAGGCCTAGCGTACAATCTTAAAATTAAAGTTTATAAGTCTCCAGTGCCGCACATCCTCATCTGTCATGCGAATTCTGGTGCACAATGAGAGTTTGTGGCCTATATATTGAAAGCGGATCCGATTGTTTGACACGTACCTTTCAGTGGCCCCGTGCGGGTAGCTTCGTCGCATTAAGTCCAAAACATTGAGATATCAAATTGCATCCACTATGGGAGAACGCAACTCCTTTGACGGACGTTCAGAGCTCTCGACCCGCCCAGCAGAGCACTGCTGCGATCACCCAGGCTGCGCCCCGCTGAAAGAACACTACTGGTGCCGCCAATGGGTCTTTTTTCGACTGATATCGTCGAACTCTGTCATGCCATCGCAGGCTCTCGACGAGATACGGCGTCGTCTGGGACGACGCGATTTCCGGTTCTGCGCCACATTCGATACTCATCAAACCTTTTACGAAATTCTTGTCCGACTACCAGATCAGCGAAGGCCTGATGGAGAACCTTTGATTCTGCTTGCTCCGCAGAAGTCAAACTTCTTATCGGAGCGTAGTCAAGTGTGGAACCTAGCTTGCTGTTGGGACGCTCTAGATTGGGATGTTCCTGTATGGATTGCTTCCCTAGGTGCGGGAAGCGGATTGGGTTTCGGAGACAAAAACTTGTGTTCTGAATTGAAACTCATGGTGCGCAGTGCCTCCGGAGTAGTGGAAGAGTAGTATGCAATGCGCGTTGAGATCCGTGTATTAAAGACTTGGAAAGTACCAATGTCACTTCGGCGCACGTTAATCTCATTAGAAGCCAATGATAGTCCTGCTGCGGCTTCAACTTCCCATCTTTCGTTGACCGTGGGCGCCGGTACAGACTGAAAATGGGATGCCCACAACCGTCGTCCCGGAGTGCAAGAAGAAAGACCAGTTGATTGCTTCAACTCACTATTTAACGTGGTTAATGTTGCTCTCTTCCACTATTGTAGTACTCAAGACACCCTCCGTTGGCCGACGCGAGCTGAAGCTGACTCGTGTCCAAGATGCTCGGTGTCTGCTCTTCGCATCGGAGGCACTAACTCGCCTTCAGGTATGGTGACATATTTGTCTGTTTGCGCAGCTCAAAGACTGAGCGTGACACGTGACAACTTTATTCTTCTCGCAATACTGCGGTATTGAGGGCATCACTATCATAGTCAGGCAGTCGGAGTTGGGTGAATTAGCTTCAGGCACACTAACTTCTCCTTGCCCTTTCGCAGATGGCAACGACTAGCCCAAGCTATTGCCTGATCCGGTACGAGTATAAAATTACTGACCCTACTCCATCACTGGATAGAATGTCAAGATCTCGAGCGCCCGTGATTTTCCTTCCTGGTGTGTCACAAGACAATATTGATCAACACAAACGTGAAGTTGTACACTGATTCAAGAGCAATCCTATCACGCGAGTTAGATTAGCGATAGCTAGGAGCACTAGTTTAATACATTTTGTCGAAGCTCACAACTTCCGGGGCGGCTTTCGACATTTCGACAGTATAGCAGGTCTGTGCCAGGCAGCGGGTAATAACACGTGTGTTTTTTCCGCTGCCTCCAGTCCGCTGTTGTTTGGCCGTGATAGGCAAGGTCCTGAGCGTAAATAGTGGCAGGATTCCCTCCCCAGGAAGCGGACATTGGCAGCGGTGTAAGGAACGAGTCGGCCTACTCATCAGGAACATGACGAGTAGGAAGAGTCCACTTGCGAGCCGCCAAGGATCCACATCAGTACGACAGGGATTGTACGGTTGCCTCATGTACCATCATGGGAAATTGCGGCCTTGATCAGTACAGAACCGCACTAGGGTGCCACTCCCCAAGGGGCGTTTTCGGTACCCCCCGATGCGGAACGTATATTTTCTGTCGATGGTGGCGTGACCGTCACGCCATGTCTCCCGAGCCAAGAGGACACTGCCATTGTGGTGTCAAGCACCACGCACACCCAACGCCGACCCGCCCGCGGATTCAATCACCGAGGAGTACTGAATAATCCCAGTTAATATCCATAACAAATAAGCTCAAACCAAAAACATTGCATGCGATATTATATGAAGACGGCAAGGTGAAGAAATCTGCTCGGTAGGCCTGGAATGTTTCGGGGCTCAGATTTTCGTGGTACGGGGGCCCAATGGCGCCGTGAGTTGTATGCCACGCCGCCAGGGCCATGGAAGAACGCAAAGCATGCCCACTGTTGGCTTGTAGGCCAAACACTCGTGCGAGGTTGGTAAGTGGAAATGCAAAGTAAGCTTCCCTGCAAGCCCACGTTTATTTGAACCAATGGTTCGAAGAAATGAAGTTCTTGACCACCTCCGTTCCGCGTTGGGCCGGTCCAACCCCATACACGTGATTCTGTCCTGGCCGGCTTGTTTATTCTCTTTCTGGACCGCTGAGATACCGCGATATCTTCAGCGACAACGTCGGTGGTACTGCGCCCTGACGAGTCGGCACCCGGGCCACCGGCCAAAGCGTGTTATCCATAACATGTCTGCCAATCCTGTCTGACGCATGATCTTACTACATGCGTGATGGTAGCTGTGAGGCAACATGTACTTGCTCGGAATAGGTACCAGTCCTATGCATAGATTTCTTGGGGCATCCTGTATGACTCGAGGCTTGAGGAGCTTGTGCAAATTTTGTGCGAAAAAATGATCAAACGCCTTACGGAAATATCGCTTTGCATGCATCCCTGGCGTAGCATCTCAACACCGCAGAATATGATATGCGTAAACTAGAAGTTAAATACTTATCGGCCATATAGGGTCTCATAATTTAAGGATGCTAGTCGGGGCTACCATGACAGGGCGTCCTCACTCCAAGGCCCAGATGACGATGGACGATGTCCATCTTGAGGGACATTGGGGTCTACATGCAATTAAAGCGACTTAAGTTTCAAAGCGGTGCCGTACTCATTCTGATGTACCATTGAATCCGTCCATGTCGTCAATTGGCGGTGTCCAGGACATAACGACCAACAATTTCGCCAACGGCCATCGATTCAAATACATCCGAAAGCTTGCTGAGAGGAACCACCTTTGATGGCACTTTGATCAGACCCGCGCGGAAGAACTCAATGGCTTCGTCAGCGTCCAGACGATTGCCCACATAGCTGCCCTTGATAGAAAGCATCCGGACAACAACATCAAAGATAGGTGCTTTAAGGTACGCCCCTGAAGGCATACCGATGCAGACAATAACACCTCGAGACCGAAGATATCGGGTCGCCTGCTGGAACGGCTCCTCTGCGGGCGCAACTATAAGGGCGCAATGGGGGCCAAGGCCATCATGAGTTGCGTTTTTGATGTCCGCAACCACATCATTCGACGTGGTGTAATCGATGTACGTTTCTGCGCCAAGGGATCTGCAGAGGGTACCTTTCTCTTCGCCACTGTCAATGGCGATGGCCCGCAGACCCATCGCCTTGGAAAACTGGATTGCCAAGCTTCCCAGGCCACCACCAGCTCCCACAATGGCGACGTACTTGGCCGGTCGGGCAATAGACTCTTTGAGACCCTTGTAAACCGTGACTCCTGCGCAGAGAACCGGTGCAATGGTGGCCAGATCGCAGTCCTTGGGGATGCGCGTCACATGACTAGCCTTGCCCACTGCATACTGCTGGAAGGTGCCATCGACGGTATAACCAGAGAGTAGGGCGTGTGGGCACAGTGGCTCGTCGCCCTGCTTGCAGAAGGAGCAAGACAGACATGAGCTATTGAGCCACTTGATACCCGCGTGGTCTCCGGCTTTAATGTTATGCACTAACTCTCCTTTAGCGACGACAATTCCGGCACCTTCGTGTCCGCCGATGAAAGGCATTTTGCGCTTGAGGGGCCAGTCGCCTTTCATGGCGTGCAAGTCGGTGTGGCAAACACCGGAGTATAAGATGTGAATAAGGACCTCATCTGGCCCAGGTTTCGGCACTGGGACCTTTTTATAAACGGGAGCTTTTCCGTATCAGAACCGTATGCTAACTCATCGAAAAATTTTCGCTTCGGACAACGGATAAGGCACTTACGGCCACCACTCCGCTCAACAACCTGGGCCCACTGCTCGGTCGGAACGTCCAATTGCGCCATGCCGACGAGAAATCCGCAGAATGAAAATGCGGATACGGCGATGAATGACTTGATTTTAATGTTTCGTTCCAGGGCGACTTGCAATATTGGCAAGGCTGTCGACTGATATAAATACCCTAACCCAGATTACGGATACTGAGGCTCACATTACCCGCCGTAAATCGTAGGGGCAGGCTTATGTATCCAATCTTCCCCAAATCAGCCGCAATCAGTGTGAACGTACTGCGTCTCCGGAATTGGTCAGGACCCTAACGCCATCATGGCGTGATATGCGGGAGTCAGCTGCTGGTGGCGTTCGGAGCTGCGACGTGACAGGGAGGGCGTGGCTCTGATAGGAGTGAGCTGATTGTAGCCTTTCAGGGCGAATCATGAACCATTAAACAAATTCGGTGCCCAAATGCCCCATGGCCGGAATAGTCCTTCCCCGATGATATATATCCCTCCAATAACCAATGTTCTTGCCCTGCTTCAGGCACTCACTGTCGGCCATACTAATATTATAAAGCTTCGCCGGGTTGCGTTGCCAGCCTGCCTGACAACAAGTCGCATCATGGCGATATTTACCGTTGGTGACTACCTTGCGCAAAGATTCGCTCAAATCGGAATCCGACATCATTTCATCGTTCCCGGAGATTACAATCTCACACTCCTGGACAAACTCGAGGCGCACCCAGAACTAACCGGGGTGGGCTGCACCAACGAGCTCAATTGCTCTCTAGCCGCGGAAGGATACGCCCGCGGTCGTGGTATCGCTGCATGCGTCGTGACCTACAGCGTGGGCGCGTTCTCGGCCTTTAATGGCATCGGTGGAGCATATGCCGAGGACCTCCCCGTCATCTTGGTTAGCGGAGCCCCTAATACCAATGATGCAGATCAGCACCTTCTGCACCACACTCTCGGCAAGCATGACTTCACCTACCAGCTGGAAATGGCCAGGAGGATCACTTGCTGTGCCGTGTCGATTCGCCGAGCCCCCTGTGCTCCGGAATTGATCGACCGCGCCATCCAAACCGCCCTTCAGGAGCGGAAGCCTGCGTATATCGAAATAGCAACAAATGTGTCCGGTGAGACATGTGCGCATCCTGGCCCTATCAGTTCTGTCATTGAGCCGATCCGAAGTGATCGGATTTCTCTCTCGGCGGCAGTTGTTAGCACGATCGAGTTTCTTAGATCGACGCTGAAACCTGTTATTCTTGTTGGTCCAAAAGTTCGCAGGGGCGGAGCTGAGAAAGAGCTTCTACGGCTGGCAGAAGCCATCGGATGCGCTGTTGTGCTTCAACCAGCGGCGAAGGGTTCTTTCCCTGAGGGCCATGCTCAGTTTGCAGGAATCTTTTGGGGCCAGGTCAGCACACTCGCAGCGGATGCCATCGTCAATTGGGCGGATGTCTTGCTGTGCATAGGCACGGTATTTACCGACTATAGCACGGTTGGATGGACGGCCCTTCCGAGCGTTCCGCAGTTGATCGCTGATATGGAGACCGTAACTAATCCGCATGAACACTTCGGCCGTGTCCGCCTGTGTGAGTTTTTGTCCGGGTTGGCAGAGGCAGTCAGCTGGAACGATAGTACGATGGTCGAGTACAACCGACTCCGACTTGACCCTCCACTGGAGCATCCATCCCGCCCACAGGAGAAGCTAACGAGAAAAGAGGCCGCCCGGCAGACGCAATCGCTCTTAACCCCGGATACGGCAGTTTTCGTGGAGACAGGCGACTCTTGGTTCAATGGAATCCAGCTGCGCCTTCCGCGCGGTACAGATTTTGAAATCGAGATGCAGTGGGGTCATATCGGATGGACCATACCTGCTGCATTTGGATATGCGCTTACAAAACCAGCAAAGAAAACCATCGTCATAGTCGGAGACGGTGCCTTCCAGATGACTGCACAAGAGGTTTCGCAGATGGTCCGGCATCGGCTGCCTATCATTATCCTCTTAATGAACAACAAGGGCTACACAATCGAGGTCGAAATCCACGATGGGTTGTACAACCGGATTCAAAACTGGGACTATGCTCTCTTGGTCCAAGCGTTTAATTCCACAGAAAGTGGAGGTCGTGCACTTGGCCTTCAGGCACGTACCGTCGGCGAATTTTCAGAAGCAATCGAAAGGGCTATGGCACATGCGGATGGACCGAGTCTCATCGAATGCAACATCCTCCAAGATGACTGTAGCAGGGAGCTGATCACATGGGGGCATTTCGTTGCAATGGCCAACGCCCGCGAGCAGATAAAGGATTAATTTTTTCCTTTACAGGGTAGCAAGGTAACACGAGTAGTTCAAGGCGACCTTATTGGATATGCCAATATCCATCACGTGTCTCGAGAGCCATCACGCGCATTCGCAGTCTCAGCAGGGGCTTGATCTGCTGTCAACCGGAGTAGATGGGGGTGAGCTACAGTACTCGTGGAGGAGAATTCATGATCTTGGTTTAATACACCTGTCGACTGATTCGGACCATGCGCCTCGCGGGCGGGGCATTTGTATCGGAGTCGACGTCAGCAGGATAGGGTAGAGCAGGGGAGGAGTGAGCGTGCCAGCCAAGGACTGCAGCTTTTTCTCAAGCGACATCCGAATTTTGCGAGGCGTGGTAACGAGAGTGGTTATTAAGCTCACGAAACAGTCCGTTGTTGCTCTTGTTATTCGTGATGGACAACAGCCCCGACTTAGGCTGACTGGCTTCAAAGCCAGCAGGTCAGTGGGAGATGAGCTGTTCGGAAGGACGGAATGTCATCGTGAGCGTTGATAACAATTCCGACAGCTTGGTCATGTGGATAGCATACAGCCTGACATGCCCGCCTTGGTATGTATAACCGAGGGTGTGGGCGTGCTGGTCGTAGACGGACCGAGGCGGCTCCCACGGTCAGAAGTGCAACTTAGCACCTTTCTCCCAGCACCATATCATAAAATCGCCCAAGCTCTCAGCAAGTTCTATGACACCGAGCATGACACGACAAATCTTGTGAACTTGAGAGCCAACCTTATGGCAAGAGCTGCCCTGGTCGCTGCAGCATCATCATCAGAGCCCGAGCCGGCGAGTCACGTCCAATGACTCTAATCCGCTGCGAACGCTGAGCACCGCCTTTTGCAATGAGAGCGTTATTTTGTCAGGATCTCGTGACCAGTTAAGTCTGACGGTCGAGCTCGAACCGGAACGGCCTCGAAGCGCACAGAAACCCTTGAGCCAAAAGCCTGTGTGATACTCTACTGTACTTTTTTCACTGGATTCGCCCCTCCGAATTCGCCAGGACGAGCAACCCCTCGGAGTGGGCTGCCAGTTCTCACCAAGCCAGCTTCCAATCACTCCGCTCCTGCTTCTGACTTGTACCACCGATGTTGCTAGAGCTCGGAACTGCAGAAAACGGATGAGATATACCCTCCCGGTTCGGGTGCTCGCTCCCAGTCTTTACAGCGCCGGCATCCGACGATCTGTGTGCCTGGGAGAGAGAGAAGTCACCAGAATCGAAGTACTTTCTTCCCTGTGATAGACCAGAACTGATTAGTCAGATTTTCCCGAATTATAGCACTCTATACAATATGGGGCATCTCTAACTGATGGTCGAGAAGGTCTCCTTTGGTTGGTATCTTTCCGTACACGTGCTTGAGGCGCATCTCCTTGTCTTTATAGGCCACTGTGTCCTTTTAAAATCGCTCATGCCGCATGCCTTTGCAAAGTTACGAAGGTAGGTCGAAATATGCAGTACTTGCCATGGTGATGATGGGTTGGGGGGGAATGGAAAAGCACGCAGAGAGTTGGCAACGGAGAAACAATGAACTTTAATAATGGACCCTTCCATAAAAAAATGAATTGGGTGCTGCCGCTCGATGTAGTTGCGACATTCAGAGTTTGCAGCTAGATGGGGCTGAAATCCACTAGCACCAAGCTGACCAATATTAGTCGATTGCAAATGCGCGCCATTCTTGGCAAGCCATGCCACCACGTCAGGTCATCACAGCTACAAACCTATTGTAGCTTTTTCTCCCAGCACATTCCGCTGCCACCAATTGTGGCGTCCCGGAAAAGTGGAGATGTTTTCCAATATCAAAGAAGGCTATGTCGGATTCCACGGTCTTTTTGAGGTGACTCTGCCCTCGACTTCCGATACTTATTACGAGTGCTTGGCACCGTCGCCCATCAATGAGAAGCTGGATGCTGGACAGTTCCAACAATGGCGACCGAGTCAAGTCAATGTGGCTGCTCTGGGGTCGGCAGTCCACGCTGAAACTCGTACTCTATTTCACGTCGCTACTCCTCTTGGCGATACTTCTTGCTGCGTAAGGACATGCTCGGGCGATTCCAATGATATTGCAATTAACACGTACGAAAGGTGCGCCTATCCTAAAATCGCCAGGATTGACGAGCTGGAGGACCCAGAAGAGCCAGAGATGCCGGATGACCCAGACGATCAGGCTTCATCCAGCAGCGCACACTCTGAGACGCGCGAGATAAACCGGCTAGACAAGGTGGCTCCATCGATTTCATTCGAGCAATGCAAGCTGGACCCCAGATTTAAGGGACAGGGAGATTGTTTCACAATCCAAGACGTGTATTATGTCTGGTAGGCCACGCATTCTGTCATGTCGAGACCAGACGCGTCATGTCGAACTGACCTGCTTCGACTGATTCGCAGTGCCATCTGCAAAAATAGTCTACGGGATGGTGATGACGTCCGTCTCATCTCTTGTGGGCATCCTTTCCATTCAGCGTGTTTCATCCCGTGGCACCTCGGTCCGAGCCACGTGTGTCCGGTGTGTAAGTCTCGTTACCTCCCGGATGATGTTCCACAGTTCTGAGAGCCCAAAATGGGCCAGAATTTGGCTTACTATACCCGGGCTCTTGGCGTACATCCGTAAATCTACCACGAGATGTGCCCTGTGGCCAGGTCTGTACGAGTGTTCTTGACCGGAATGGTGGGCGGACCTGGCATGACGTCGACTCGGAGCGGGCCAACAACCGGTCGCTGTCTGATAAAGTTTGTAATACAACCTCGCATCAAACCATGAACCAAGGAAAACTGTGCTCCGGTCGCCGTTTTGTCCTACTTGGTGCATTTTCCGCCGTTCACCTTCAGCTTCATGTAGCGGCGATAGAGAGTGTGACGAGTTCCTCGCAGAAGCCAGCCCATAGCACTAGCACAGGTCAACGTCAATTAAGCAGTGGTCACTTGATGACGCAGCCTTCGTATCACAGGGTTGGGCTAATACCAGGAGGATGCGCATTGACGGTTGGTGAAACTGCTGGAGGCGGATATGCTACAGTGTTTTCAAATATACCAGCGCTGCACGCAGTCCAATTGGAGGCACGGCGGATCCCTTATGAGTGTCGAAAGACTTGCCTAAAGTCTCAGCATGCCAAGGTAACCTAGAGTACGCATACGGTGGGTAGGATGGGGACATGAAAATGTACGTTGCTACGGCCCTGGGCATTATTTACTCGCCGCACCTTCCTTCCTGATAATATATGCATAACTTTGCCCTCCAGCTGCCTACATATATCAAGTTTTACAGCATTGCCAGGCTAAAGTATCCACGTGACACTCAAGGCGTAGTGCCCTTCTACCTCGTCAAACATCACGTCTAAGGCCCCAATGGAGAATTGGAATCTGCCAGTTGATTTCGCTGGATCTCTGTACCATTTTGGGGCCGTTGACACGAGCATTTCAGAGGTCATTTCTCCGATAAGGGTTGCGAGAGCGACTGGGTCTGGGTCCGTTTGGAGCTCGCGTGTTATTGTGACCTTAAACTCTTCGTGGTCTGCGCTGCCTTCAAGCGGTGCGTGATTTCTTTCCATTTTATACCAAGTTATGCTGATTATTGCACTTTGGAGACGACGGTCGGCTCCGATTATGCAACACCGGTCGGCGTGAAGCCTGGAAGGCTTGTGCTGTCAGCGCAGAGGGCTGCCAGTCAGCAGTCGATCTAGAAAAGACCTAATAATTCAAATTAGGAAACTGGAGTTTACCTTGCGAGGAATTTCAACTTGGAATAATCAAAACGACTCGCACTCAGATCTTTCTGTCACATGGGGGGACGTGCACTTTATGGGTCAACCAGCGCCCCACGTCAGGACGTGGGCGGTTACCGTCTTCGCTCTTGGCCGTTGGTGGCTCGGCAACTTTTTGTTGGCAGCTGATCGAAAGCTGGGTAGCTTTCCTTGAATATCTAGGGAAAGGGTGGCCTGGTTGACCTAAGGGTGTGGTCGGATCCACGGCTCCTGCGGCTGAAAAGCCATTCGAATGTGGCTGAAGTTGGCAACCGCAGGGTACAAGGTGAGTTAAGGGTCTGCTGCTTCGAAGACAATGCTTGTGCTACTTAACTCACAATGCTCATTCGGCTCTACGATGTCCTTCCATCTACCGATTGTGGTTGAGCACAAGGCGCTGCGACAATTTGTCGAGGAGCGTCCGCGTAAATGGGATTGCCTCACGTATATTCATGCCGCAGCCATTCTGCAAACTGGCTGTGGTGCATATCACAGGCCAATACGCAACTCTCGAAGAGAGGGATCGTTTGTGTGCGCAAACTCTTGCCAGCCGATGCCAGTTCTGAGGTCACCTTCCCCGTAGCCGGGCGCACGACTGTGAGCCTGCAATATTTCCAAAGTATCAGCGCGAGCATGTTCCGTATTTCCGGAACCACCCGATCTTTCTTGGTCCCCTTCTCATAATGCATGCCTTGCAAAGGAACTGTCATGCCACGCCATAGCCCAATTTAAAAGACACCTGGAATGGAAGACACGGCCGCATGGCAGGGGACGGACAACATCCGCACCACGCAGTGTCTCCAGGCAGATGACGCTGCGACGAGTCAGACCCATAGCTGCTGATATATTGCTAGACAAGCTTACCACCCCTAGCCTTCGCCAGCCGCCATCGCCCAGTGCACCGCCGCTGCTAAGTGGGCCCAGACTGCTCTGAGCAACTGCTGGCAACCCTGACTTGGGATACTCCTTGTGGCGGCAATTGCTAGGCACGCCGAACCACTTTACTACGGACGCCGTCTTACGGACGCCGTGTGGCTGGCCTGCCAAATCGGGCAAGCGCACGTCTCACTGTGCGCGTCTTGCCTTCCCCGCACATACCTGGTTTCCTTCCTGGCCACCTGAATTAATTGCTGAATGTCGCACAAAGAGCCAGCTTCATGCTGCATATCATCTGTGCTTACTGTTGTCCGCGGACGCCGATGCTATATTCCGCGTACTAAAGTCGAGCCTGGATGCGTTGTGCTTTAACTTCGCCAAGGTCAAAGTTCAAACGCTGGGCCATCAACCCCGTAGTCGAGCAGCAGTGGGCAAGACTAGGCCAAGCAGGAAGCCCACGCGCAAGTCAGCCGCCCTTGGGCCGGGAAAGCAGGCAGGCGTACGACAAGCTGGCCGTAGGAGGCGACCTTACTTGCGGCGGCGACGGTCAGAATGGGAGACCATCTGTGATGAAGAGAAGCAAAAAGTTCCACCGAAGCGGAGACGGCAAGCTCCCATAAGCCGCGTACCACGTCTACCACTGCAGCGGCTTCTGCCTTGTCAAGTTGTGCTAGCGGGGAAAACGGGAAGGATTGTATCCATCTGCGACTGTAATTGGGGCCACGAAAAATACACTGCTCTGGAGAGTATATTGGTATCTCCTGTGCGATTAAATCCAAGTTCAAATTGCCTTATGCAACTGGAGGCCTGCAACTGGAGGCCTGCAACTGGAGGCCTTTTGCTCGATCTAGCTCCGCTGTCCCGATTCACAAACCACAGTGCCGGAGAATGGCGGACTCAGGAATGGTGTGGCTTGAAACCAAACGCTTGCCCGATTTGGCAGGTCAGCCACACGGCGTCCGTAAGACGGCGTCCGTAGTAAAGTGGTTCGGCGTGCCTAGCAATTGCCCTTGTGGCGGGGACGAGCTTCCAGCCTATCCTCGCTCCAAGACCGAGCGCCTAGCGACGGCGTGGAAAGTGGCAGCCATGCCAATAACTCTTCATCTGCAACTATCTCCTCGCATTGTTCCCCTCGTGAGTCAGCTAAACAAAGTGCGCCCCGGAACGAATTCGCTCACGTTAGAACACGGCTGAGCCCCTAGTGATTAACGGTATGCCATGGCCGTTGTTCATGTCGCCAGCGGCGTTGTCATACGGGCGGGCACGATTGATCTCTGCGAGATACGTCGAAGACTGCAATACAATCCCGGGCGGTTGCTCCTGGCGAGGCTCACGGCCCAACAACCTCAGTGCCGGTCAACGCCACGGCGACGAATCCGTCCCGCACAGCATCCCTGAGTGAGGCGACACCAGGACGATTGCGGATTGCGAGATTGACTGTCCCTCTCCGCTCCCGAGCTTCGAAACAAAGGCCATTCCCGCTCCTGTCCTGCTTCTTGAAACAGAAGCCCTCCAGTCGGCGCTGCTGGCTTATTCGCATCGACATTGATTGTATTGCACGGCTTCTCCATTGGTTCATGGACCACACTCATGGACTCGCATCCCTCCTCTGGAGCAGGAGTGCCGATTGGCTTGCGCAAAGCTTGCCAAAGTCCATGTAGCGTTGCACGACCGGTAGACGTAGGCGCAGCCGCCTGCAGGCCCTGGAAGGTTCCACAACACCCCAGCACCTCCCTAACCACGCCACGCGATAGTGAAATGCCCAATAGATACGCCCGATTGTTTCGTCATAATTTCAACATGGCTCACTCTTCTACCTCTCGGACGTTCGAGGGAAGGGTCTCGATGCATGGCCGCATCGTCGGCTCAAAGCATATAAGCGGGATGTCGCCTTGCTCTCAGGCCACCTGGCTTTCCACGCTGATCCATCCAAGACGCATCCATTAGGGAACAAGCTCTCGATGCAAGCTTGCAGATCGACTCTCCCACGAAGACTATCGCGCAACCTGAAGCGAGTTACTGCCATTCAGCCAAGCAAGCCAACACAAACCCGCACAATGGCCTTCTTCGCCCGCAATTTTTACAACCCCGACGCGTCCTTCGCGCCGCTCTTCCGTCTCCTCGACGAGTTCGACGCCTACTCGCGCCCCGTCAACGGAAATGGCCATCACCGGCGCTCGGCGCTGCCTGTCTGGCAGCCTAAGTTCGACGTCCGAGAGACCGGCGAACGCTATGAGCTTCACGGCGAGCTCCCGGGCATGAACAAGGACCAGGTCCAGATTGAATTCACCGAGCCGCAGACCATGGTCGTGCGTGGCCGCGTCGAGCGGAGCTACACTACTGGCACCCCGCCTGCTGGGTTACTGAAGGACGCACCGCAAAGCAAGGCCATCGCTGAGGGCGGAGACGAGCGTGCCAGCCAGTCGCGTCACGCTAGTGTGGAAGACGAGGGCGCTGGCGCCACCAAGACCTCCGGCACCGAGGTCGTTGACAAGAAGACCGAGGTGGCCGCCCAAGAGCCCGGCGACACGGCCAAGTACTGGCTTTCCGAGCGTAGTGTGGGGGAGTTTTCCCGCACGTTCAACTTCCCGGGCAGCATTGACCAGGAGGCCGTCAGCGCGAGCTTCAAGGACGGAATCTTGAGTATTGCAGTGCCTAAGGCGACGCGGCATGGGTCGCGCCACATCACGATCAACTAAACAGTATGTGAAAATCTGTGGCTCGCTACAGCCCAGAAAGATTGAACAAGCCGGGAGAACACTCAGGATTGAACAAAGACATTGAAGACTTGTGATGATTCGGATCACGACTAAACGCAGAATGACCTGAACGATTGGAATGTGTAAGCATATTCGAATACTATTGTTGGAGGACGGCAAGGATCCGTAAGTCTCATGAGCATTTCCGTTCATTATCGTTATGTACTTGATAGCCGTTACAGACAGATCAATTAACTTCTAGTAGCTGTTTCACGTTTTAATAGATCTTGCTAGTACCGGCGGGGCGGGCTTGCCGCCCACTACGGGTTAGCTTTTGAGGCTTTGCTGCCGTTGCTCTTCGGCGGCTCAGAGGCATGATTGAGAAACTTTGAAGGTTCATCTTTTGCACAAAGGAAAGGTGTGGTACTAGTTGACCGCATGGTACGGTAAGCACTGCGGCCGGTTTTTCTCCTTGGTAGTAGGCCGCCCACCCGCCTCTGCTCCCTACGAAAAGGTGTTTCCCTCCCGCTACGCCTGGGTCAGTTCCTCAACCTGGTTCGCAAAGCGAATGCGGCGCTTGCTGGCAGAGTCCAGGAAAGTCCGCCCCGTGATCTGGAACGTGGAAGTTTTGACTGTCCCGTGCGCGTTGTCAAAAGTCCTATTATTCTGGAGAGTGTCTCCACGGTTGGAGATCATATGGGTATGCCACAGTACATAGGCCGAGAAGGCGATCAGGTTTCTGCTGCCGATCATTTAACGACGTCGCAATTGCCCGCTCGAATAAAATGTCCTGTTCCACCCATTCAATTGTCTTCCTTTGAAGAATCACGCCATGTGCAGTAGCTGGTACAGTACTTTTTGCGATGGGTGACTACCGGAGTTGTCAAGCCTGCCTCAGTTCTCGACGAGTTGCAAGAACCTACGTGACTACTATTTTCGGAGATGCGCCGCGTTAATGGGGATGGGGCCTTCAAGATCCTAGCATGTGACCAGGGTAGCTTCATGGATTTCCTGCTCCGCGGAAATTCCGAACAGTAAAACGGTGCCAACAGTAGCTGACCACTGTCGAGCCAATTGACTCCGCCAGTCATGTTTGGAATGGCTACTGGGCACAGTAGGTCAGCCACGCTATTGACTGTTCCGAAGTGGTCGCTGGGAAAGAGACTCGGGCTGCTCTGGGGCCTGAAGCTCTCCAAGAGCCGCTGCAAACGTCGTGGCGGCCCGTCCTCGTAGTCGGGTCCCTGCCCGCTGAATGAAGTAGCATGCCTACGCGGAGGGCCACCAGGATCATTGAGGTCATTGGGGTCCATCTCAGGATGCAGTGCGGTCGTGGCCGAACATCCGGACATCCGTGAGTCGGAACTGCTCGGAAAGCAAAACCCTTGGGTCACAAAATGACGTGGGGTGCTGGTTTGCTCTTTAAGATACCGAGACTCGCACGCACTGGTGTGGCAGACCTTGGGGCGCCTCCGCGTCAACCAGACTAGATGAGGTCCTGACGATTATTTCCATGCCCTATGATCGCGTGCATGGGCATGGATGGCCCTGAGCAGCAGAGTCACTGCGCTGTCGCCTCACACCTCCCCAGCCTCTTCCTCACCAGCTGCCTTTGAATCTCTCTCGGTCACGGCCTTTGCCTCCTGCTTCCTCCAAAGCCCGGCTAGAAACTCGTTGGTGCTGGCCTCCTCAATGCCCTTGTCCTCTCGCTTCTTCAAAAATCGTGGAAACCGCAGGCTCAGTCCTCTCTCGTCGCTCACCAGGCCAATCGCCGCCGTATAAGTCGGGCTCAGAGTAATGTCTGCAAACGCCATCTCCCAGACTTCTTGCGGCTCAAACCACACATCCGGGCCTGGACCGTTGTATTCTATGTAACTCGGCTTTTGAAACCGAACGTTTTTCGGCTCGCCGCTCTCGTCGCCATTGTCGTAAAACTGCTTATTCGCCTTGTAAAACGCGTCGGTGAAGCCAGATATGCATTTGCACACCGCCTCGAACATTCCCGTCTCCTCGTTGCGCACCGCCAGCAAGATCGGTGACCACCACTTCGCCTTGCGGCCTTGTCCATGCCAGCCGGCTATAGGGATCAAGTCCAGGGTATCGAACCTTGAGTTGTAGTCTTTCTTGACCTTGAGCCACGAGTCCAGTCGCTTGTCCGGCTCGTACGTGGCTAAGAGCGGTTTCCTTCGAGACTTGATTTTGCCCTCTTCACCACTGACAGCCGTCCCGTCCTTCGATTTCTGCTTCAACTTTGCCTTTGAATTTGGTGTCGAGACTTTCTCGGATAACTTGAGTGGTTGTGGTTGCTCCGGGGCGTAGTCGGCATATGGCACGTCGCGTAAGTTGTCCAGGATCTTGACCATAATCCCTTCGCACTTGCTCTCGATGGCTGACTTGAAGAAGTCCAACACGGCCTCGGAATCTACGGATGTTGCGTCAAGGCTCTTGACCCATGTAAAGTGGTGAGGCACTTCTGTGAATAGTGCGAAGGCATCAAAACCTAGCAATGCCCGTTTCAGAGCCAAGCGTCTACACATTCCTCGACGAAAATGCTCTGGCAGGGGCTTTACGATCCTATATCTACGACGCGCAGACCGTCAGTTTCACCCGACGCAGGAGATTCAATGTCGCCGTCTCCGGAGGCGCTCTGCCCAAGGTCCTCGCCACTGCGCTACTCTCGCATGCCTCGGCGAACCCTGGTGATGAGCTCGAGATCCACAATTGGTCGATTTTCTTCACGGACGAGCGCGCTGTCCCCTTAGACCATTCGGATTCGAACTACGCGCTTCTTAAAAAGGAGCTGTTGGATAAGCTTCCCGCTGACAAGCAGCCTATAATACGGACCATCAACCCAGCGCACCTGGGTGATGTGCAAACGCTCGCATACGAGTATGAACAGGTACTCGTCGCTGACTTCGCAAAACGTGATGCGGTCCGCCTGCCAAAGGTCGACCTGGTGTTGCTTTCATGCGATCACGACAGTCAAACGTGCGGTCTCTTTCGCAGCCACATGCTCCCGAGCCTGTCGAGCTCATGGGTGGCAGCGTTCGGTGGTCCGCCTGACTCCGCTCGCATAGTCTTAACAGCTCCCGTTATTGCCCATGCCATGCGGATCGCCGTGGTCGCCACCGGAGTGGCTAACGAGCGCGCCAAGAGGCAAATTTTTACCGATTGTCTACCGTGGCCGTTATTGAACAAGATGGCCGGCGATCGCTGTCGTTGGTTTTTTTGTTAACGAGAAGGCGGTTGGAGTCTGCTGCCCTAAATTAGTTGTCGAAGAGAGAGGCGGCATTGCCGATTTTCACCTAGTAAATCTGGCTGTGCGGCAGTGTATCGATGGTAAGCACAAGAATCTTTTAGAGTGCGTAGATATCACGTTGCCAAACTCTCCTTCCCGAGAGCTTGTGCCACCATATCCATCTATATGTGACGGGCGAACTAGTGGTAGCATATTAGGCACAGCGCCAGCTACGGCATGCTCGCCGGCCACAGTTGACGTAAAGGGCGGTCCGGAGATTGGATGCTTGTGGGGCGGTGAGCAGCAGCGGTGCAGGCCGACAGCACTTTTCCTGCTCCATCGGTTGACAAAATCCTGCATGTTTCACCACGCCAAGGGGGGCAGTGGTGCCAATCTCAGCGTTAAGGGACGGCCCGTGAGTGCCACTAAACGAGTCCGGAGGATTTTTACGCCAACAGCAGACTAGTACATCATCGGCCCGAGAACCAGGATGCGACGGTTGACACCATTCGCCCACGTAACGACGTCGAGAAACCTACAGGTCCTTTAACTGCCCAATGCGAAGCAAGAATCGGACGGCGCACGTCCTTGCCCTCGTAATCCTTCGGCGGCCGGCATGTCAGGCATCGGACGAAGAGGGTCCCCGCCGCCGCGTCCACTTACAACTTCCACATCAGTGATCAACTCGCAGGGAGCGGACGAAGCGAGATGCCGCCAAACGGCCATGAGGCAGTGTCGACATACAAGTCTTCGGGATATCTGGAAAGCCAATGGCCACAGTTGTTTTACATTGACGAGCTCACTTTCCCAGAGTTTCTGTCCCCCCTTCCACGGTAACCGCATACCGGCTTTATGTGTGCGGTGCATATCTCAGACCGAAAAATAGTTCGGACTCGTACGATCAATTTGTCACAGGTCACGGCAGCAAGGCGATGGTGGCGCCGTGGTGGCAACGCTCCAAATGTCAACTGAATAGCCCAGTGCCCGTCGCATCGCCCAGTGCGACGTCAGCATCATGGCGACCCCGTGGCCTGAGGATCAAACCTGGCCTATCGACTACCGAGAGCACGCCACGAAATTGAGCACCTACACACGGACGGCATTGATGTTAATTCACACCACAAGCGGATCACCCATCGACCCTCGCAAGGTCAGAGCTGCGCTCTTGGTACCTTGCCCCTCATCCTCAAAGTACAAGGCAGACCGGATTTCGGCCAAGTCGACGACGAGATTCGAATCGCGCAAACCGAGTCCAGAACCACAGCGGAGATCACCAAGAGAGCCATCGACGACATACGAGACGAGCTGAAAAGCGCGAACAATATGACCCTACAGGCCGTCACAAGCATACAGGAAAACGCTACCATCGGGAGAGCAGCTAGTGCCGCCGCGAGGGAAGCTATGGAAGTCAGCTAGGCAACCACGAAGCGTCATCAAAGACAATTAGCCGTGTCCAAAATATGCAGAGGGATGGAGCCACTGTTGCATGACTAGTTCTAGGCAATTCATGTCAATGATTGAGCGTACGTACCGTCTCGACACTTTCCGAACTAAGACTGCCGTGGCAGGAATGCTATTTCCTTGGATCAACAAGAAGAGCGTCTTGTCCCAGGCAAAGGCTGACCAGGTTTCAGGGTCGCTGAGGAGGCGCTGGGCCGAACAAATTTCCTATACTCTGAAGCAACTGCACGATCGAGGTATCATATGGGGTGATACCAAAGCCGACAATATTCTGATTGATGAGAATGACGATGCTTGGATCGTTGATTTTGGTGGCAGTTTCACGCTTGGGTGGGTCGACAAAGAAAAGGCGGGGACGCGAGATGGTGACATGCAAGGCTTGGCAAAGATTATGAATGTACTTTCTGACCGTACATATTGACGCTACCTCGGCTGATTGTCCCTAACAGCGCGTTGAAAGAGTACACATGCCGAGGTGATGCGCACGGTCGCTTATAGAGCAGACTGGGTCTCTTAAGTCTCGTTGGCATGCATGCTGGCTGACGTGTCAATGTATTTCTAGCCGACACCACGATCCTCGTTGGCAGCGGAGGTGGCCAGAGACAAAGTGAGCTAAAGTCTAGAAAACAACTGCGACGATGCTGCGCAAACGGCATGATTTCATACCGTAGGTGTGACCGGTTCGCTAAGAGTCCGAATCGCCATTGCCATTAAATTGAAGCAGAAAGAGAAGGTCGTTGAGTTGGTTTCAACCTCTTTTGTGAGACTCTAGGACAACGTCAAGCTTCCCAACATGTTGTGCTGGCGGCTATAAACAGTTGTTCGCTACACGTCTACGTCAGCTACGTCGCTTGCGAATCTCACCCACGCGGAATGTACGTATCCGACGTCCACAGCCAGTACGTTGTGACTGGAAAGAGCTGCTATTCCTCTTTCGTGCCTCTACCGTACAAAGTGGCTTGTCGCTCGATCGCAGCATATTCGCAGCTGTCGGGCTGCTTAGCAGCATACAGTACTTGCCGAAGTTTTCCTGCCGCTGAACGTGGGCCAGGCCTCCGTAATCTTTGTCCGCTGTTTCCGGTAGGCTAGCTGTGTCCGCTGAGCAATTAACCACGTGCTCTGCGCAGTCTCATGCACCTACAAATTGGATTTCAGATCTATCCTCGAAGAACCGAGCCCACATAACGCAGGTTTCGGCGCCAAACAGGCTATTGAAGTAACTTGGGCGGCTGGCCTTTCCCGATGAGCTGGTGTGGCACTAAACATCGCCCGGCTGTCATGCCTGAGACAACTAGCAAATTCTCGCACGAGTAGGGCTTTGTCGCTTCCAAATACCCCAGCCAAGTTGGCCGGGCTTGGAAGACTAACCTAGTCGAGATATAAAGTTGCTGCGTTTTTGTCAGCACATCACAAGCTCCTGTAGGCAGGGGATGCTGAATGGACAGGCTGACTGCATGGCTGGAGATCCCGGATTGGCGTAGCGTGGTCTGGAACTCGGTCTTGACCCACTCGAAGTTTTTGCTGCCGCCGGCATCGACCCGTTCCGTCATACTATCGATCCGATGTTGCCGAGTTGTGATCACCGATCCGACAACCGCCCCACTCGTGGAGAAGTGACTCTTTGGCAGGGCATTCAGGTCCAGGCCGCCAGTGGCGTGGGATGCTGTTGTCTGTAACCCTTGTATCTGCCGATACCCCGCCATCTACCACTAAATGCTCCAATTGCGGCTACGTTCTATAAGAGACCTATTCAGATAGGCCGCGACAGGGCGACAGCAGCCTTGCAACCTATCAAGCAACACAACGGAGTCTGCACAAGCATCCGAGCTTCCCGGTGGCTATATCCTTTCTCCGAGTGGTCAGTCGTGAGAGAAATGTGATGACCTGCGAAATCCAGGACCCAGAGTATACCATACCTGAAGCCCACTGCAAGTGTGATATATCTTACAACACTGAGCCACATAACGGACCGACTGCCAAAATCCCTGATAATGCATCTGTTGAGGTAGCACGCTTCTGTAGCCGAAATGCCTGTCAACCAGAACTACCACTTCTTCAGTTCCAATGGAGTGAAGATACACTACCATCTTTATGGACAAGGGCCTCCTTTGATCTTCGTCCACGGCCACCCAGACAACGAAATGACGTTCTCGGAGCAAATCGATGAATTCTCCACCGATCACACAGTAATACTGCCAACACTTCGTGGTTATCCGCCCAGTGACGTCCCGCTAGACGAGGATGCCTACCAAGGTCATATCATGGCGGGCGACATGGTGGCGCTGTTGGATCATCTCAAAATCAACAAGGCTGTTTTTGCCGGCGGCGACGTTGGTGGTATTACGGTACAGAGACTAGCATTCCTCCATCCGAACAGAGTGCTAGGCCTCGTCATATTCAACACACCAATTCTCGGCACCATGATGCATCTTATTTATCACGACAAAGAACAGCAAGAGCTATCCAGGTATTCGTTGGAATACATTAATCATGAACCTGGAGACAAATACGACTTGGACTATGTTGTCCGTACCATACCAGACGCGAATTATCGTGCCAAAATCAGGGATTATCTTCAGAAATCCCCCGAATGGGGAATGTTTTATTTCTTTCGGAAGAACTTTCCGTCGCCTCCTTACGGCCATGATGTGGATACCACAAGTATGCATTATTCTATGCCATGCTGCATTATTTGGGGGATGCAAGAACCGTACTTCTCAGATAAGATGCTTGACGGCTTCTACAAGTGGTTTGACCTCTCTGTCCGAGTAGTCACACTACCAAACGCCGGGCATTGGCTATGGCGAGAAGACCCTCGAAAGGTGAACGCGGAGCTGCGATCATGGCTTACTGCTCTAGAAAGCGGGGGTCTGTAACGAGGGATTGAGCGACTCACAAGAGCGCCGCGAAACTGATCTGTCTTGCCGCCGCAGTGATTCGCACATCCCTGATGCCATATTGGTGGCCATTTGCCCGCCTCTGACTGCCAGACCAGATCACGCTCGGAAGACGCAATGCGTCCGGGTATGTCTAACGCGTGCTGGGATTGAGAACAAGGTTGATATGTTCTTGCTTGTGCCATATCATACGGAAGTGACAAGGTCACACGGATAGTCGAGAATGTACCCGTCTTAAACAACAGGTGTCAATGGTCTCTCACCACAATGTCTGCACAAAATCCTGGGCGCCCCGAGGCGCCGCCCATTATCGGTCACCGCCCACACTTGAACGCCATCACCCACTAGCCTCGGCACCTCCGATACTGGAATATCAGTGCAGCCCTCATCCTTCCACGTCTTTCATACCTGAAGCGCACTTCAATTAGTCCATTGGCCGCGCAATGGACCAGCAAGAGGACCTGAATAATTGTCATCGTAGAATATGTTTGGCCACGGGCTGTAACTCTTGCTTATGGAGGTGCTTTCGTCACCACTGTCATTAACACTACCGGACATCAACAGCTCTCCTAACTGCCGCACTTTGATGTGTAATTCTTCGTTTTCGTGGCAGACGACGCTGTATAACTCGGTGAGTCGGATGACCTCGTCCTCGACTGCCTTAATATAACGCTCCTTCTTTTCACGATGTGTTCTATTCGCCAAGTAATTTTCAATACTACAATGTTCCCGTAATCAGGCGTGCTCACTGACCTTTGAGCTTGTCGGTTCTGTTGTTGTCGTTTTGATAGAGCAGGCTTTTCGTCTCGCTTCCGGCCGCGCTGCTCGGACATTCCGCGGTCTGCTTAGCGAGTGAGATGTGAGGCGACATAGAAGTCAGTAAAAAGGACCTACCGCGAGATGCAATACTCTCCGAGATTCTCGCAAGTAGGGGGATGTTAGGACTCGGCAAATTGCTCACGTCCAGACCATTTTTCGAGGCAGCGTTACAATTGATTCGAAGTACCATATTGCCAAGGGAGTCCGTTGAGAATGCCCAAACTTCGGGCGGTAGCGACACGCCACGTCGGCCCGTTGTTCTTGAGTTGCACCTTCACGTAAACGTTGAAGCAATAAGTCGCAGCAGAAAAGGATGCGAACGCAGGCGGTGGAGGAATAGACGCCGCGACAATGAGTCGCGACACCAGTGAGCATGCCAGAGTTTAGGGACTGGCGTGGGCTACGGAGTAAACGATGACGAGGATGTTGCATTAATCAAGAATTAAGCGGCGGCTCACACTCTCCACATGTGGCCTCGCGACCAGAATTGGAATTGTCGGGTTGTTATCTGCGAAGATAAATCTAGCCGGCTTGCCCTAGCCTGCATGTGGAAACGGGCGGAGAGCCGGCAGGCAGCGGCTGAGGACCTCTGGAAGGGCCACCCAGTTTCCGCAGGATTGAACCAAAGCTTTATGCCACGCGCCAACGGCGCTACTACTAGAGTCGAATAGTTCAGATACTTGCCCGCGCGTATCCCGCGTATCCACACAGCATGCCGTCCTCGGTCACGCGCCATCTGTTCATGCCAAGATCAGATGGTCAGCGATGGTCAGGCCCGCTCAGATTCTCTTTGGCGCGTGCTAAATTTGTAGTGTTTCCAACTCATCGATTCAGTGTATTCTGAGCCGATCAGAGATACTGTCAATATCAAGCCGCTCATTCACGTAGGACGTTAACAGTACTTGCTGCCTGCCATCGGTGGCGATAGCTTCAGGCAAACCAGCTTCTGCCTGCCGTGTCTCAGATGCCTGCCTCAATCGGCACAGGTATAAATTGCCGACGAAAGTCAATCATTAGATAGAAGAATCAAGAGTCTTTTGTTGCGCAATTCGCTGGTGATCTTCTGCCCAGTCATCAGTTGGTCATGCACATGTGCAGTGCGACACGGGTCGTGCCGATAATGGGTCCGGGAGGTCACATGGCGATCGTGTGGGTAGCCTCACGGCGGCAAGCGCTGGACCAAGACGACGGTGAGTCCAGGACACACCGAAGAATCGCGTCCCGCGGCCGTATGGCTCGCGCGAGGGGCGTCGTCCTGCCGACCCGGAGGGGGAACCTCGCCGAGGTTCCCGTATTGCTTTCTCCAAACGTATTGTGGGTTTGAGAACCTCCGGAGCACCGCAAGCGCCAATACAACAACGGGCCGCGCCGCAGCACCGGCTCGGCAGCAATCACGGCGGAGGCATGGGTACGCGCTATTATCACCACGCAGTCGCGCCGCGAGAGGCCGACTTCTTCCCGGATCTGGTTCCGGGCGCCGTCCTTGCCTCCACCTTGAACTTCTTGAACTGGTCATCGCTTACGCTCGCGGTCGGCCATTGAAGAGGCTCCAGCGGAGCGGAGGAGGTAAATGGTGCGACCGCCCGGCGGTGCCCCGCCACCAAACCGCCACCACATTGCACTTTGCACTGCCGGACACCATAACCGCGCACAAGCCGATGCGAACCCAGCTCCTGATGGTGCCGTGCACACCGACATCGTTGGCGGGGACGCAACAGGCGATAACATCCTGGTTGATGAGAATGACAGTGCTTGGATCATTGATTTTCGCGGCAGTTACACCTTGGGTGGGTCGAGGAAAAGGCCGGGCCCGGGACGATGACATGCGAGGATTGGCAAGAGCTATGGACAGGCTCTCATATCAACGTGTACGAACGCTCTCGGTCGCTTCCAGGTGTTCATCAGGCATCACAATCGAAATCTTTCGCTGATTGCCAACTGGTCCAGTCCCGCGCATGGCGAAGAGCGGGTCCTGCCAAGTTCGCGGCGATATGACACTCCAAGTTTAACAAGTGGTCCGGGGTTGCCGGGCAACGACATACCAAGGACAACACAAACGCCACCAAGCCACGTTGACCTCAGCCAACCACTGTGATGTCATGCAGCTTCCCGTCGAGGACCTTATTACACCATACAACTACGCGAACTCATTGCAAGGATGGCAAAAAAGACTACCGCGCGCCCGCCTCCGCCCTCAATTCGCAAGAGGACGCGGCAGCCAGACCGCTCTCAGCAAAAGTCGAAGCCAGCGGGTAGCGCTGCCGAGGGCAACCGACATCCGGTAAAGAGCGACAGAGACAATCTAGCAGAGGATGAGTAAGTGACAAGGCCAGTACATGCGGTCGTCGTATGCTCACGCCTGGCAGGTTCATTGTGGAGAAGATCAGGGACCATGCGGTTGCTGAAGATGCACGTATTGACCCGCTGGAGTTTTGATGGTCGGAGTTGCTAAATACCCGAAGGGTTCCCTTAAGTTTTGGGTCAAATGGGCCGGCTGGAACAGAGTATCTGACATGACCTGGGAACCAGAGGATCATCTAAGGTGAGCAGCAATCCACGCCGGTACTTGAAGCACGAGCTAAGCTGTCATACGCGACAGCAAGTGTTCCGTACTGCAAGAATATTTTGATCAGATTGGCGGTCGCGACAAAGCGTTTGCAGGAAGAGCGGTCCAAGCCAAAAAGGATGATGCAGGTACCAGCAGCTCGCTCTCACCGACAACAGGACGGCGGGACAACAAGTCGATAGCTGGGACAAGAAATTGGGAGCCTCCTCCAGGCTCTTGGGAATACGATATCAAAGCAATCACAGGCTTAGAGGATGACAGCGGCGGCAAGCTAACGGTATACCTCGATTGGAAGAACGGGCGCAAAACCAAGCACGACACATCGGTCATTTACAAGAAATGCCCCCAGATGGTAGGCTGCCAGGTTGGTCACAAGAGATGACATGGTTCTGACAACACCAGATGCTCCAGTTCTACGAGAGGCACGTGAAAATCATTCGCAACGCTGTTGCAGGCCTGGAAGGGCACTCATGAGGTCGAACTCTGGAACGAACCGGGGCGGTAACACGGTGGTGGTAGATGGACATTACGAGGCTTGCTATTAAGATGTCGTTGGGTTTGATGCCGAAATGACCAGCAATGATTGACAGCATGTGCCTAACCATCTCTACTTGTAAGATTGAAACATGTCAGCATTATACAGCATGCGCACCCATCGGTGAGTTCGCGGGGCAATCCGGCAGCTGGCTGAAAAACATCATCGGAGCTTTGACACGGTCATGTTCAACGACAACGCCGCCAGAACAAATAGGCGCCGACCATTAACGGAGCACGTGGTACTTTGTGAAGCCTTCTTGTTCCGGGTCCAACTTGAGGGCCCATATTCCGCATCGTTAATGACCGACGGCTTTGCATCCGGCACTTAGCAGGCTTGCTGCGCGCTTAGAGTCAGGATACGGTGACGACGCGGTTGGAGGGTTAGCCTTGAAAGGTCACGCCCTGGCAGCCTTTACCGATTCTCCTAACTACAATTGAGCGGGCTTTACGTGTGCACGTGTCCCAGGCCTGGATTGCAATGGGAGGAACGTCTGAGCAGGCAAAGTTCCTCGACAAGCTTTAGAGAGCCGCTTTGACCTGCCTAGTTGCTTGAATGGTACAGGATGCATGCGACGCTCATCAGCGATGTCGACGGCAAGGTTGTGTAGTGTGGAAAGGTCTATGCCAGCCCAGAGTCGATAAGTCTTGCTATGTTTCCATGATGGCATCCGGTACGATTAAGCGTTGGCAAGTACCGACACGTGGCTGATATGTTTCTCATCCAATTTCCCTATCCTTTTATGTTGATCGGCCTATGTCCGTACAGTATAGTTACGTCACGTCCTTGGCCGCATGTGCTTTCCTTTGAGGGAACGAGTTCCGAATCAATTGGTGCGCGTTGCTTGGCTCATTGACTGCAGGAAGAAGTCGTCCCGCGTACCTCATGCCACTTTTTGGGCCGGCGATGGCATGGACTATGAGTCGAGCGACGGCACTGGCCTCCGAGCGGCTAGTGATCCCCAGGAGCAACAAAGTCGTCGCCATGTTATGGGCCTCATTTTGGTCCGATGCGCCTCGTCGCACACTCCTAGCGGCGATTTGGCGAGCAATTCCGCTCGTCAATTTGTGCGTACCATTGCGCAAGTCGCGAAGCCAGATGGTACGTCGCTTGAATCCCCACTGCAGCCACCCGCTAAGTGGGTCGAGGCTCCACTTCGTTTCCTGGTATGTGATCAATACAGCGGGCCCGGCCCCTTTGTCCGGGGGCGTTGACCAATCCTTCCTTGCAAGACATGGGCCCGCATTAGCTCCTACACGTTGGGTGGGGCTTCTTGGACACAAAAAGGGAGGGACCGACGCACTCATTCACTTCGCACAGTTCATTTTTTTTTTAGTATCTTTGATTCCCTTGCCAAAGGCAACACCACTTGCTGCGTGGAGCACACCGCGCCAGTGCTCGCATGCGGCCGGCCCAAAATGGGCAACGCAACGTCTCCGAGGAATCATTCAGCAAACCAAGTCCTCGGAGAGATAGAGACTTGTGTTTCGTTAGCCACCTCCGAATTGGGCTCAACCAAATGTCCTCGGTCACAGTACGAAGAGGCGGAGGCGAAGCTGCAGCGCTCCCTGCAAAGCCTGTGGTCGCGCTATGAGACAGCGGGTGCACTCGAGCGAGCCAAGATTCAAACCGAGGTTAAACAGCATTACATCGATTTGCACCTGCTGGAGTCAAAATTCGAAATCAACCTGGAACGAGCCACGCGCGAGTACGAACAACGGACTGAAGCCATCGTGCAGAGACTCTGCGACAAGGCCGTTGCAATCCTGGGTCCGGGTCGAATAAAACGGACGCTGCGAGGTCTCAAACCACCGCAGCTCTTGGAGTACCTGCCGGATGATCGGTCCATTACCGCGGTCCACGCTGCGGTGAGCGCCGGGGAGACGCTGCAGGCTATGCCTAATGCGTCTCAAGACCATGTCAAGGTTGGTCCCCAGTCACCGATTTCCCACAGCACCCTTATGGATCATGTGTTTTAACGCGTGATAGAACAGTAACACTGCGACAGAATTGCAACCTAGGCGAGGGGTGAAGCGCCCCAGTGCAAGTGTTGCGGATCATAGTAGAGCAGCGAAAAGACTGGCTATGACAGGAGAGGATCCACATTCCTCGAGACGGCGAAGAAGGACGAGGAGAAGCCGTGCTGCTGGCTCCAGTGATCACGGTCAACAAACAGCGCCTGAAAACCTCAAACCTGGTCAAGTATACCTTGTATGGGAGCGGTCAAAGAGTTGGTCTGCCGTGCTTTTACTCCCCACAGACGCCATGGTCGATATTGGTGTACCAGAGACTCTAGAAACTCTAGGTCTTTCAGCAAATTTGCCCGAGTGTTACGAGATCGACACTCGCTCGAAAACATGCAAGTGGCGAGAAGGTTACGAAGATGACGGACCATATGCTGCAGAGCGTTTGTATCCCGTCATGGACTTTGATGGGCCTAAAGTGCCCAAGAAAAGGGCGAGATGGCTTGCCGCAAGCGAGTTCAAACCCTATGATGAAGAGATTGCTCGATCCCTAAATTATTTCCCCCAGATTCAGGACTACCTGCAGGGTAAGTCGATGGAAGACCGTCCAGATGAGGACAAGACCATATTTGTTAGAGGTACGTTTCATGGCAATTGCGAAGGTGGGCGCTAACGAGCCAAGGCGATGCCAGCTGCAGCCCAGCACCGACTGAAGCGGCTCCTGTAGTAAACAGCCCCGATTCCGGAGCCTCGACATCAAATTCTGCGCGAAGCCTTTCGGCCACCAAACCGCTTCCTACGACAAGAGAAACAACCGTTCTGGACGAAACCGGGGTCACCAGCACAGTTCCCAATTGCTGCGCCGAATCCAATCAGGAGCCAGTAGGAACTTGTTCAGGCTCAACTGCGGAAAGCTCTAGGAGAAACAGCTCGCCAGAGCAAGCGAACGTTCCAGACCAATACGACGAACACTACATAAGACGATCTCCGAGTTTGGGGACTGAGGAACTTGGTATCACCGCTTCTACTCATGATCAAGAACAGGACATTGCGACACAAGCGCACGTCGTGAATAGTCCATCGGCAGGTTCGGCGGGAAGATTCAACATGATGGCGCATTCAGCAATTGACGGTCTGCATGAAAACGCATTGGCCGTTGACAATCACTCACCAGCCGCACACTGCTCACAGGCAGCTGATTATCCAGCAGCAACAATGGTGCAAGAAACGGTCTCGTCCGCTAAATTTGCAGGTGATGGTCTGCAAGAGAGAAGTACAGGCTCAGCGTGTTCTACCTTGCTACCGACAGATCTGCCCGAGCTTCTCGCCAGCCATTCAATGGTGAGCGAATGGGCCGCTGCTGAGCGCACCACCCCACCTGCGCCATCGAATGAGCCTCAAGATCCGTATGCCCAGCCTCGGGATGCAGAGAGCCAGCGAATACCGCCTCTACCTGGCTACAGCGCACACAAGTCAGTGTTGCCTTTTGCACCGACCGAGTCTACACATCTTGATGTCGTAGGGAACCGCTTGCGGGCTGTGGCGAACACTCGGCAACCCTCGTCGGGTCACGTTTTACCACCAGTCACGGAAGCGCTAGAACGCCAAGGAGACGCAATGCGCGAATTGCCGCCGATTCGAACATCCAGGGACGATATGCTACCGTGGCCAGCCAGGCCATCGAATACAAAACTATACGCCCGTGCGACACCTGTACATGCTGGATCGACTGTACCTGCGACGGCTGACGGCGAGCTTTTCGGTTCCCTTCAAGCTCGCCATCCTGGACCAGTGCCTGCCGCAGAACCTTCATTGGGCTTAGAGCGTACAACGCCACAGACACTTCAGTCTTCTGTGTGTACGAGTTCCGGCAGATGGTCAGGTGGATGGCCGGCAGATTTTCCACAAGTGCTTGTGAGCAAAATTCAGAGGGAATTTAGACGAAGAAACTGCTTGTCGCACGATTTCAATGTCTTGCCAAACGATTTCAAGTGGACGGACAACAGATATTATTGCCCGCTATGCTCTGAAGGAACGTGGAAAACCGTTCGGTTTTTCTTCAAGCACCTCATGGACCATCGCAGCAACTCTCCATAACGATATGAGCAAATCGTTATGACGTCCTTAGTGCCTGCAACAGGACCGAAGTCGGGATAGCGAAGGCTTGACAAAAGTAAAACTGCGTTTCTGCCATTCCAGCATCTGGTTGAGCCATGAACATGTGATGTGAGAGTCCGAAGCAGTGTTTGAGAGCACATACACCTGCTTGCATGGGGTTGGTAAAGTGTTCCTTGGAACACTCCGTCGCTTGACATGGTCCAGTCGGACGGAAGCGACATATTCGACGCGCCTTTGGGGGTTTTGGGGAGGAGGGGGCACCTGTGGCGGGCACGCAAGGGCGAAACCAGGCAACTTGGGAGGCCGCAGAACTGTTCTATCCAGGCCAGTTCCACGATGGCATAGGGCATCTTCCGCCGGAGCGTCTGTCGAGGCTGCGACGACGAGGCGATTCGGGAGCAACGATGCCTGTTACGCGGTGTGCCGACGGATACGTGCGGGCCTGTTGCCGCTTTTCGACGACGTGTAAGGTCCCCTCAGGGCGACGGGGGAGGCGGACGAAGTTGATGATGACCGTTGTGGCGTGACTCAAGACCGGCGAGAGAATAGCAAGCCGCCGCTACGGATGAGCCTGCCACCGGTGCTGGAGTCTCGATTGGACCATGCGGTGCGCGGCTCGGAGAATTTGGAGTGGGACTTGTGCCTGCCCGGACGACTGATGCTCGAGTGCGTTCAGGTGAGCGGCACAAGGCATACTTCCTTAGGCATTCTTCCTTAGCGTGGCGGGCTGGGCGAGCATGATGGCTAACCCGAAGGACGACATACGTGGATACGGCCACCGCTTCGCCGCGGACCTATGGACTTTCGTATTCAGGAGCGTGCCGGAGGTCATGGCATTGCGCTTCCGGTTGCCGTGGAAGGTGGACTTGGCGGACGACTTCCTTGGCGGGACAGTTTCTGTCGCAGACCGAACCGCCGGAGCGGTGCATGCTGCCCGGGAAATCGGATGAGGGAAGGTTATCATAGAGCCACGACTTGGGATGGAACAACCGAAGAGGGTATCTCATAAGGGGACGGGGATTTTGTTGAGGACCAGACAGTCGATTGCTACCAAGTGTTGATAAGTGACAACTTTGTCATATGCCTGAATGCGTATCATCATATTGAGACTTGTAACCACTGTTCATACATCCTCTTCAAGACGACCGCTGGCTCCACCAAAGCCGACGGTGTCGCCTCACCGCTAAAGAGAAAGCAAGTAGGCCGCGAAGACCGTTTGCCTCTGCAAAAGCTCCACGGCGACCTCTCGCACATCCGAATCGTGATTGTTGGACGGTGAGGAAATAGTCTCCCCCACAGCAGTATCTACAAATGATATGGGACGCCGCTGCTCTCCCGGTCACCGACATTGTCTACAGATTGATGCTGTCCGAGTACCGCTGCGCCAACGAATGGACCGGTGTTCGAGGAACTACGACTCCTGTCAAGCGGGACACAGCTGCTGCTTCTCCAGTCCTTTAAGAATTTCACAAATTTTGACACTCGTCCGCCCAGTTCGTCACCTTTCCTCCCCGTCCTCGTCGTTATGACCATGTGCGAGTAACGAGGCTGTCTTTCAAGACGGTCTTTAGGTCGCCACCTGCAGGGTCCGAACCTTGGCCAGATGCAGCGATGACACCCATCGGACGGCCCAGCAGGCGGATCTTGGACTGTTTGTTTCGCTGGGCACGCGGGGTGGCGGACGGCCAATAAGTATTACCGTGAATGCCATCACTCTTTGTGTGGTGAAATGTCGAGCAATAGCACGTTCGAACGGACAATCGCCGCAAGCGCGCGCATTATATGTAGCCCACCAGTTTTGCACACCAACTGCAGTAGAAAAGGTTGAAAGCGACGCGGACCATGCCGACGGTGCTCGTATCGTCTGTGGACATCATTTCCACAGAACGGGCGCAGCGCATGCAGCGTAAAGACTCGACGAAGGCTGCAGGCTGCGGAGCAGTTATACCGACGCTGGCGCAAGAGCAACGGCCGCTAGGTGGCTCGTTTGCTTCGCCAGCCTCTGAAGGCGAGGAATGTGAGGAACAAGAAGATGACGAGGATCCAACGCGTTGATTCGGAGGTCGGCTGGCCATCAAAGCATAGTAATCGATGAGATGAGGTCAATGCGCCGGTACCACGCGCCTTTAATCGGTCCCTGTAGACTGTTCCTCGCGAATCCAGAAGGGAGACGTGTGGGATTTAAATCCTCATCAATGAGTGCTACAGATGATTCCGGTCGCCCCAGGGGTCTGCTTTTGCGCTCCAAAGGGTGCCGCGCGACAGAAAGGTCTGGTTCTTCTAGAAGGGGCTTTGCCCAGGGCGTCACGCCCAACAGTTCCCAAGCGCCCCGCCCGCAGGCTGGTCTAGAACATGCTGTAGCCCTTCCACAGCAGGTGCACAGTGGCACCCACCGCCCCGCAATTGTCACGATCGCCCAGCAAATCTGCGATCGAATGCAGATGTAAATTACTGCACATGGGCACATGCAAGGTAACCGGGCACTCGCAGCTTCGCAGGTAAAGGATTGAAGCTGCTCCTCCTGCGGAACTGGCTTACAGCGGCCTGCTGGATGACCCACTGTACCAATTGTCCCCTGGATTGGTACCAATCCAAGTTTCCTGGTCTGTGCACGAGGCCTGTGCCTTGCCGACTGTCAGACAATTGGCTCCACAGGGATCACAGTTGGCATCGTGTAATTGATGAGAATTATCTAAGGAGCAAGAGCTCCACGAAAAGCTGCACGGCTCCCGTGCAACTTTTATACACAAATGAAAGCTTTGCCGGTTTAGGCAGTGGCAGGTACTTACTAGGCAGCTGCAGCTACTGTAGGCAGGCTGGATATGCGACACAGTGCGATCCTGGAGCTCCGGATCGCAGGAGCACCACGGGGCTCCCAGCGACCCAAGGCAAGGATCGCGGGATCACACTTGCGATCCTGATGATCCTCAGGAGATCAATAAAGAGCTGCATGGATATATATACTACAGTCATTACCCCAGAGTAGATTGCCAGATGTTCAGCGATCAATCTAAGGGATTTCCCGGTGATCTGCCGGATCCGCTGATCCGCCGGACTTACACGCGGTTGCATTCCTGGCATCAATCAAGAATTACCACACAACCACGCGATCAAATAGTCACAAATTCAACGTGTAGCAAAATCTCGCCAGTGTTACATGCATCAATCTAATTCGCAGTTATCAAGCCATCGTGGCCGCTTGCTATTTCGTTGTGGTCTCCCGGAGCTCCGAAATGCGACTACCATCTCCCGATCACTCTCACAAGCCAAAGACGGTCTTTTCGCACGTGTTGTAGTCACCGGAGCCGTTGTTGCCCTCTGACTTGCGCTGCTGTGTGGTGAATCCTGTACCTGCGAGGCTACCGGCGTCTCCTGTGAGCGCGGAACGACCACGATTATTTCGTCTCGAACGCCGGGGCTTTTCGCGCGACCCTCAGAAGCGGCCTGTTGTTCGTGCTGCATTTCGCATGCCATTTCCTGGCTATGACGCTCCAGCTCTTGCCGCACTTGTCGTCGGGCCTCCCTCTCTTGCTTCCTGGCTTCCTTTTTCTGCCGCTTCGTCTCCATTTCGGCTACTCTTTGCCTCCTCTTCTCCAGGGCGACAGCCTTTTGCTCAGCCGCCTTCTGCTGCCGCTGAATCCTTTGCGCTTCCTTCTGCAAAGCCTCTTCTTTCTTCTGGGCCTCCATTTCAGCTTTCTTTAGACGAGCTTGAGCCACTTTTGCGGGGCTAAATATCTGAGCTGAGTTAGGATCTATGCGGTCGAAGAGATAGTCCTTCAGAGCTTTACCGCGCTGTCTGCGCTGCTTCTCATGGATAATTGTCTCACGGAGTCCCTGGTTCTCATATCGAAGCAGCTCAACCTCGGATTGAAGGCTCTCCAGAGTGCTCTTCAGCTTTCGGCTGCTGCGACCAGCGTCGCTAGACGAATGGTCGACTGCTTTGTCAACAAGCCGGCGCAAATCTCGAGCAGTCGGTCGCTGAAGGGCTAGAGATTCTGCAGAGTCGCCTCCCGTGTCTGAGTCGTCTCTTGTTTTCGCTGTGATCTGCGACAGTACGACTTCTGGGTCAAAGGGCAAGAGGCCAGTCCGTTCCCATCCACTGGCAATGTTTTCCGGCGAGAAGGAAGCCTCAAAAGCGTTCCAAAATAAGGTCCAGAACTCGCGCTTCGACAGATTGATGAGACCCTGTGTCTTTGCCGTCCATTGGATAAGCTGTTTGGTGTACGCGGTAGAGAGCGGGCTGAACAACGACACATCTAACGGCTGCAGCCTGTGAGTGGAATGGGGCGGAAACACTGCAACGATGATCCGGTGTTGGTCACACCACTCCAAAAAGTCCATGTTCACATGGCTCGAGTGGCCGTCGGTAATGAGAAGGCGATAGTCACGGCCGTTTCGAGCCTTTGCCTTGGTAAACCGGTCGAAAACGCCGGTGAGCCACTCCTTTCCAAGCTCGTGATTTGTCCACCCTGTTTCTGAGGTTGTAAAGAAGGCCGATTGATGCTCTGGTTCAAATTCCGTAAGCCAAGAATCCTGAACTTGTCCTGGCTTGCCTTGGTAGATGAGGAATGGGGGCAGTGACGTCATGTCCTGGCAGACGCATGCAAGGAAGGTAATCCAGGACCGATTGCCGTCTTGCGCTGCCCCGAGCAATTTGCCTTGCTTTTTGACATTGAGGGAGAATACTCTCTTTGTTCAGTTGATTACGCCCAAGAGAAAGCCTTTCTCGTCCACATTATACTTGTTGCAGGATAGAATGTCGTATTTCTCAATTTTCGTGCGGATCTTTCGCAGTCAGCAGCGAAATAGGGCCACTTAGCATCAACTTACCAGCTCGAAGTAATCCTTATACCTAGACGCACTGTCTGCTTTCCTTCGTGCCATATCCAATCCATCAAACCAGGTGCAACCGAGCTTGTCGCGATTGCGTCGAACGAAGCTGTACGGCCAGTTCTTTCCGACCTCGATTTTCGCGATATCCTGGGCGAAGTTCTTTATCATAGGCAAGGTAGGCGGAATCCCACGTGATGAAAGCTTATGAATATAGGCGATGAGATCCCGTTCTTGCTGTTTTGACAGCCGTGATTTATACAATCTATCGGCGTCACGTCTTGACCGCTGTTTGCCTTGATGTCGGCGTCGCAGTGTGGTCTCGTCGCAATTGAAGCGGCGTGCAGTCTCAGCATAGTTCACCGATACCGACGACTTCAGGAAATCAAGGGCCTCATCAATCGGTGCCATGGTTGTTGAGTTATTGTCGATTGATGTCGAGTGTGCGAAGTAGCGGTGATCCGGCGGATCACCGGATCCGGCAGATCACCGGGAAATCCCTTAAGCATTCATCTGAATGAGAAATCTTCAAAGCTTCTTAACGGACTCTTGTTGAATTGTTCACTGCTCGTCAATCCTAGCTTACCTCCTAAGCAACAGCAAACCTTAGGATCCTTTCTAGGCTCCGTTACACACGCGTTGGCGAGGCACCAAAAGGCGCCTGCCTTTGGGACGTTGGGACTGGTCGGTCACTGTCAATGTCAAGCCGCTCATTCACGTAGACCGTTACCAGCACTGCTGCCTAATATCGGTGGCGATAGCTTCAGGCAACCCGGCTTCTGCCTGCCGTGTCTCAGATGCCTGCCTCAATCGGCACAGGTATAAAATACCGACTACAGTTAATCGTTAGATAGAAGAATCAAGAGTCTTTTGTTGCCCAGTTCGCTGGGGACCTTCTACTCGGTCGTCAGTTAGTCATGCACACGTGCAGTGCGACAGACGTATCGACGATATCGACCCATCGAGATCGATATCATATGTCACACGGCGTATGAACAGCAATACACCGCACATTAGTGTGGCGCCCACTTTTTGTGGCCGGGTGGTATTGTGCGATATCATATCATATCGTATTGTATCGACCGTATCGATGACCACCCTGGCAAAGGCAATCAAGTTGAGGTCGAGCATTTTGTCAATTATCCAATCGAAGGCCCCCAAGAATTGACTTGATTGGATTGTGAGCAGCTCTGGACTGACTCACTGCCACAGAGCGCCAAGAGTAAAGAGGGCCAGTCCATGCGTCATCACGGCCACTGTGGCCACATTGTGCGTCCTCATCCTCACTAAGCCCCGGTTGCTCAGTTCAATCAAAGTAGGAATATGCATGAACAGACTTCCGGAGGACGATGGGTTCGACGTGCTGTATACTAGAAACGCAGTCGTTAATACGGCTCGCTTCAGCGTAAATCTCCGCCCATTCCAACGCCTCCGGGCCGCCATGGGAGTCCGGCGACAGCTCGACGATTCCACGAGCCCTATCTGGCCATAATTCTCCTTCCGTGGATGTTACCACCAAAAGCTTCCTAACGTCTGGCAAGACGATAGGTATATCGTTGTAGCGGATAGCGAACGACGTTACTTGATGTATTTCAGGGTACCTCTGTGCGAAGCTAAAGCAGTCCATGGTGTCGAAATACAGAATGTCGATCTTAGGACGCAAGTATATGGGCCTCGATATCAGCTCGATCTCGAAGCTCCCATCGATGGAGGTAAACCGCGTGTTGAAGAAAAGCTGGAAGCAAGTGAGAGCCACGTCGCGGGATTCTCGGCATGCATGGAGGATAGCCGGCGGGCGGGCCAAGCAGAAGAGAATCCTCTTGGGGTTCAAGCAGGTCGCTGGTGTATCTAAGACGGTAATGTAAATTATGCGGCGGTCGGGTAAGGCGCGCTCCCAAATGAGCGACCGCAGTTCGGGCGGCAGATCCATGAAAGAAAAGAACGTCAAGTCTCGGTTCTCATCTTGTAGCGTATGATCTTGGGCTTGTGAATGCTCGTTTTTCGCTTGTGGGCCACTGATGCCCGGTGAGTCTGGGTGGTTGAGATGCATGCCGGATGACGAGGCTGACGTCATGGGAAGGGAGAGGCAAAAGATCCACGCGCGACGTGCGCAAGGGTAATTATATGCGACACCGTGCTGCGGGGCCACAAAATGGACGATTTCGACTGGTGGGGTACCGCGACCGACGGAGGCATTTTGCCGGGTGAGACGGAGCCCCAAGTATGGGCATGAACGACACAGAAGAAGGTTTGGAAGCATATCGACGCTGAGATTGATGCCATCCGACAGGTATTTGGTCAACCCGCTCTTGCCGAAGAAAACGTGCGGAGAAGGACTGGAGAGGGCATATCACGGAATTTGGAGAATCGGCCGAGTGTGAGAGGTGATTGAATGAGGAGGATGACGATTAATTGTTTACCTAGCTTTCATTCAATGACTTCTTTAACCACGATTGTTTTCAGCATGCTTGACCAACGAGCGGACCCGTCGCATGGTGCATTAGATACTAATGTCCGTGAACTTGGTCTCCGCCTTGTGAACCCGTGCCACACACCAACAGCCATGCAATACTTTTTAGGCCAGGTGCATCATGTGACGCGGGGTCATCTGTCGCTGATCGATAGACCCTTTCAGCAATTTCTTGCTCAATCGATGCCTCGGATCGACGCGTTGGGCATGAAGGGGAGCACTGAAGCCTGACTGTTGTCGCGCTGTTCGCGTAAAAGCCAACCTCCTCGCCCAGTCATTCAGCCAGAGGCAACGCAGTCGCTCACGTTTCAACTCAATTCTCTCTGCCTATATCCTTTAGGGTATGCATTCAAAAAGGCCAAACTCGAAGAAGAAGAAGAATGTCACGGGGCAAAGCAGACAAAGGCCAGAAAGCCCGGATACCCAAGTCGTGCGGTCTATGTTTCCTGACCTGCACTCCACGGTACATGGTGCGCATCTCTCTCGTCCGTACTCCCCATGCGGAGTTTCCGAGGCATCCAATGATCCGCTGTGCATGTATAAGCGGCAGTCTGCTGACCGTGTCGAGACGGATGTCAGAATGATGGGAGAGGCCGCGACTTTTGTGGGTGGTTCCATCATCGGTGGGAGCGCAGGTGACCTACCATGGCGATAGGAAATTCCATGAGTGTCAGGGGCATTTGTTGCTGGCTGCCGCTGTCGGTTTCGTGGTCCGCATGGCTAGAAAGGAGGCAGGTCCGAAGTCGACGGGCAATCTCTTCGAGGGGCCTGACGGACAAGCTGCCACAGTAGCCGGCGCCAGACTTGGGAAACAGGCGTGCCATGAGAATAGTCATGGTGTAGAGGTGAGCAATGACGATGAGCGAACCAGGCGACCCGTGGCAGCTTTGGAGGTAGCCTACGGGCATCCAGAAAGCCAGCGCCATCAGGGGCTGCAGGCGCTTGTATTGTTCGACAATGTCCATTGCCGGGTTTATCTCACCGGCGTCCTTCAGGGAGCTGATGAGGTGCTGGATATGCGCCGTGTCTTCCCGGTTGCGGTGAAGGCAAGACTCGGCCTTGTGGACCTGCTCTAGCGTTCGGTGGTAGGCATCAATATCCTCCCGTTCGTCACAGGACTGGTGGTCTGGGCTCGGGGCTAGTGCCGTTGTAGGAAAGGTGCTAGTCTCGATAATGAAGTCTCTTAACTCGGATTCGTGCTTCCATCCGTCCATGGCCTCAATGACGGATATGATGCCCTGCGCTAGCTTGGCTCTATTGTAGCTGACCATTCACCCAAGTTAATCGCCTGTATCCGCTCAAGGAATGCATTTCATGGATCGCATAGCCCAGGCTGCGGCACGGATGAGCTGCGGGAGTCTCATGACTTACCGATCGGTGGTCTGCCAGGAGAGCACAAGAGACGCCGCCAAGATGGCATCTGACGTCTCCCGAGAAAATGAATTGAGTGCCTGACGTAAACCTCTCAGGGCAATAGCCCTGTGCTCGAACGCCGTGCTACCGGTCAGAGCGCAGCCTGTGAGGAAGGCGACGTGGGTGGCAGAGAAAGCAAGCAAGGCATGCATGACATACGGCACAGCAGCGCCAATCTGCAGCACGCTGGACGATGAATTAGCACAGAGCAGGTGTGTTGCGTCAGGTAGCCGGTGTTACATAGTACGGGTCGCACCAAGTATTTGTACAGGTGACTGCGCCACCCTACCCTCATATGCAAAAGAGGCGACAACCTGCGTGAAGAAAGGGTTTGCACGTACATTGGGATATGGCGAGTCCATAAGGTAAATTTGTTGGTATCCATACAAGCAAGGTGATGAAAGAGGCTGGCGACATGAACGATCAAACGGAGGTCTTTGACTGGGTACATGTGTGGTACGAGACCCACGCAGACGTTGAGAGATGGGAAAGGGAAAATACCCCTCGCTTGCCATTCGACGACGGCGACCATAATGTGCGGCATCCACATGAGGTCAGTTTCCCTGAGAGTCGTAGAGTGCTCGGCGTCATGTACATGTGTGTCATTGTACGGACAGCGAATGCGGTACCTGGTGCAGTTGTTACTGCAGATGGCGTGGCAATGTCAACAATGCTGCCCATGTGCGTGCGCTATACAGGAACATGCTTACCATTGCGGAGAAACTTCGTCGCAGCGAACGTGGCGACGATTGCTGTTTGACAATGTTAAATGGTAACAGAGTGCGAAGCTGCTCCAGCCGAGTAAGGTTCACAATTGAGACTTACCAGGTCTCGCAGCCATTTCGGGACTTGGTATGCCTGTCATCCTCGTTTGTCATCAAGGGAGCCGGTACGGGACAGCGAGCTGAGACTGACCTCCGACGAGGCGGACAAACCTTCGAGCTGTCCATGTTGATGCCTCTATGTCGCTGTGAGGACTCCCGGGGCAGACGATGTCAGAATAAGAACAGCCATGTCATGGTCTAGCCATCGCGTAGAAGAAATGACACAGCGCAAGCATTGACTGATCGTCAGCTAGCGAATGTTGAGACGGCTACATGAATGCGGCTATGGGCATACGACAATGTCGACGTCCTCAGCTGCTGTAGATCGGTTGGTTGTTGTCTACTTGTCAAAGTACGTGGGCATCAGCTGCCTAAAGGGGTACCCTGGCGACGCTCATAGTGTGGAACCATTAACGGTTAGTGAGATGAAGAACGCGGGTGACAGCAACAAGCCAGCACGCATTCCGGGTTAACCTGATTTGACTGGCCACTTTTGGGTGAAAAGCCCTTGTGGCGCCACAGGCCACCATTTCCGTGTTCACTGACAGGCCAGAGATTCAATCGACCATGTCCCGTGGAAGAAGGCACTGTCCTAGTAGCCGACGTGCTTGATTGACTGCTGCCAAGTGACTCAGGCAAGGAACGTCGGACATACTAAGACAAGCACAGTAGAGGGCGAGAGTATTCGCGATTGACGTCTATGTGGGCTTGCTGCTAAAGCGGAGAGGGCTAAGAGACACTCTTGAACTGTGGCCTGTGCCGCTCTCCACTAGGTAGATGGTGAAATATTGGACTATAGTCTCAGCACCTGCCGTCGTGCCCTCGTCTCCTCGCAATGGAAGCCAAAGTGGGGTCGTCCCAGTGTCAATCACCCGTGTGGGTCCAGCTCACCCGTGTGGGTCCAGACCAGCGACATCTCGGCTGGTGTGCCTCAGGAAGAGTGGGTCATGTTTGCGTTTTCTGTCAATATCAAACCCCCTGTTCACGTAAATCGATAACAGCACTACGGCCTGCGACGATAGCGATAACTTCAGGCAACCCGGCTTCTGCCTGCCATGTGTCCCGCGGAGTAACCATCGCAGTTTCGTTGTCAAGTTTGAGCATATAGCGCCGGAAAACAGAGAAGGGATGGCGCCTACGAGGTTGGAGATTGTTGGTGTGACTTTGCTGCCGGAAAGCAGGTACTCAATCCGAAACAGGCGGCGGATCTGGCAGCCGAGCCACTTCGTCCTCTCTTTCCTCCTGGCTCAGGACAAGCAGAGAAGCCCCGCTCGGTAGCTGACGACTGGAGATACTCTGACTTGTTGAAGAACCCGGAAATCCAATCTTGTGGGAGGTGACAGGTCATGGAAACGGTGATACCACTGAAACAGCCTGAAATGACACCAAAAAGCCACAATACCAACCCCTCGCACCGCCCAGAACGGGCCATTGTCTCTGAATGGTGCCCCAGAGGAGGGGGAATTACTGTGCAGTAGCGCTACTGCCACGCAGAGACTATCCAATGACACTAGTTGCTGGGAACCAGGATGGTGCCCTGTACATGTCACAAAAGCCATGTGTCGCGAAACAAGCTAACGGAAGCGCGACACGCCGTCCGATAAGCTACTCCAACATGGGAAACGTTCAGCAACCATGCTGTTGGAACCAAGCACGGCGATGTCCCCCACACTTTCCCCAAGTCGGACAATGAGAGGAAATGCGGCTCGTTCTTTTCATAGCTCGCCACACAAAACATCGTTGTCCATTAACTCACGGCCGCAAGGCAGGCCGCCGAACGAGTGGACCAAAGGAAGGTAGCAAGACCCATGTGTTACATACTGCCGGCAGAATCCCAGGAGAACCAGAAAGGGTCACGTGAGTGGATCACGAAGCGCACGGTGATCCAGGTGATCGGGCAATGATCAATGAAGAACTGGATGGATATATATACCACAGTCATTACCCCAGAGTAGATAGACAGATCAGCAGTGATCAATCTAGGCATTCATCTGAATGAGAAGTCTTCAAAGCGTCTTAGCGGACTCTAATAGAATGGTTTACTGCCCGTCAAGCCTAGCTTACTACCTCTCGGGACCCTGTATAAAAGTCCCGTTGTTCACGAAGATCGTTAACAGCACTGCTGCCCAGTAACGGCAGCGATAACGCCAGGCAACCCGGCTTCTGCTCGTCATGTATCAGGTGCCCAATTGGACCAGTATAGACTGCAAACCTCAACTCAGTCACTCGAAAGAAGATCTATCATGGTTCTCTCGTTGCCCGATTCGCAGGGTACCTGCTTCCCGGTCGTCATCTAGTTGTGCATTCGTGGCATGCGACAGTTGCCGTTGTATAATCTTTCTGGTCATTGTCCTCGTGCCACTGCCGAACATTCTGTGGCAATTTATCAAATCAATGGGATGTAAAGCTCAGTTGTTGTGGTAGTTGAAGTAGAACGAAGAGCATAGAGGCGTCCTCAACATAAATCCACACGGCGCTCCATCGGCTGAGGCAAATGCGGTAAACATTGTCGTGGACTACACTGGGACGCGCTAAAATCCACAGTATTGGGAACGACAGCACCTGACGGCCGCTTCCATCACCATCGCGAATCGGGCCCTCTTGTCGGAAGCTTGGTCTAGTGTGGATTGTCGATTCAAGAGGCCGGTGGTTGCACAGACTCAGGCCCAAAGCAGAGAAGCCTCACGCCATCCCGAAAGGGCATATGCCGGGCAGCCACGAATGAAATCGGAGCATGAGATTTGTCTTGTGATCCCTCGACGCTAGTACTTATGGCGGACATGGATCCGAAGTAGGTGCGTGCTGGGTCAGACACTTCACTCGCCGGTTCCATTGTGCCTGAATCTTCGGCGGATGGCTCGAATTGTCTGACCACCCGAGCTCGGATCAGTCTTTGCGGCATTTTGGTTGCACCGTCGAAATGCAGAAGAAAGCCAAAATAGTACCTGCATGCAGATCACGGAGTTTCACCGTCAGCCTACAGTACAATGCATGGGCTTTCAAGGGTGGGCAAGGGGTAAAATCCAGCAGCAGACACTTGTGCGGTGAGCGACGTTCCTTACCCGCATTAGGGGAAACGCCTCTTCCCCGCAGCCACAATTCTCCGTCTTTTGCAGCGACAGGTACATGTCTGAATTTGTCGGAAAGGTGATATCACAGTGGCGCTAGCAGGGTTTGGGGGCTCACCTGCCCCCGGGTAGTCAGTGGCACACCCTGTTTCCCCTTGCCTCTTCTCCCGTTGCCTCCTCTCCCTTCGCTAGCATCATTTCCCAGTCAGAATTTCAGAGGCGCCATTTAGTACAAGATCCTAGCTGCAGTTGGGTAAGCTCTGTGGTGCTGGTCACCCCCAGTCTCCTTAGTGCCAACTGTCAGCGTCATATCCACCTTCGAGTACATTTTATGGACTCCAATGCATCTCGGTCCATTTAAATCGAATTGCACGCCCTGGCTGCTCTGTCAACCAGATCCGGATGTTAACCCCAGTACGAGCTGTTCCTGCCTCTGCACCGGTTCTAGCAAGACCTTTTAGCCCAAGGAACCACTTCATGCACTCTTTCGACACCCTGGTCGTTTGGTACTCGGTCCTTGGGCTGAACGGCGCCAGTGGGACAAACACACAATTCGTGTCCGTATTAATGTAGCCGTTCGGATAGTTTATTATTGTGATAATGCCACATCACCCACAGGCATAATTTCCATGTGTTACCACATCTACCCATGAGATACTCAGTTATGGAGCTCGCTGTTCCCAAACGCAGGCCCGTATCCTCATTTTTGTCTCCCTCCTACATAAGTCAGCTTCCTACGCATGACCACTCCACTCCCCGGCCGTCATTCGCCTACACGGGCTCCGCCACCGGTGACGAGCGTCGTCAGTTTTCGCCACAAGGGGACGAAGTACAGAGCTCACGGTACAAACAAATAAATTGGGGGAAAGCAAAATCGCCACGCCCAAGGCCTGAGCAGATGTATCAACA